AGGAGCTGGAAGAGGAGTTTGATGGTTCATATAAGAGCTGAGTCATGACTCGGACTTGGTCAAAGGCCACGCGAGCTAATGAGGATGACATCAAAACCTTACAGGACAATGTGCTTTTTTTTTTTTTACACTACTATTGTTCCCACTTTACTGCCATTTTAAGTTAATTAGTAGGAAACTTTGTTAGAGTAAAGAAAAAAAACAGAGATAAGTAGCTGGAACAAGTTAATGACTCATAATATAGTGAGATTTTCCAAACCTGGGAACAAATGTCCTTATTAAACTAACTTCTGAAGCACTCATAAGCGATTTGCTAATCATAAAACCATTAGCTGCAAACTCCATTAAAACTGCTTTATTAGACAAATTATGGTTATGTTGCTGTCATTCTGAGCCACTTCTAACAAGCCTCACCTCCACTGCTGCAGCACATCAGTTAAGTTGCCAAAGCAAAAAAAAAGATTTGATATCATTGCCAAGAGGTTTTAAAGTGAGATTTACCCCACCTTAAAAATTCAATGTTTGGTTCATGAGGAATAAACGCTCATGTTTTATTCAGTGAAGTCAGTATGAGCATTAGCTTACGGTGGTTAAAGTTAGAAAAAGGTAGCAAAGAAGGTATTACCGGCTAAGTGCTCTGACTTAAAGGCTCCTCTGTAATTATGTTACCGCCACACTATATGTTTTAGCATTTACAGTAAATCCAATAACTGCAACTTGTGGCCACAGTTCAGTTCGAGTTAGACATGTTTTGAGTTGGGTGAGGCAAGAAATATCTTAAGGTAAAATAAAATAAAATATTGAGTGACTTCGTTCAGTCTGTCCGGCTCAGTAAAGCTCCCACAATAAATCCAATCATGCTGCAGTTAATCGAGTTTTGATTATTATTGTCGTTGGCGCTTTTTTAACATGGTTAATAAAAAAAAAAACGTCTGTCGAAAGGAGGCCAAAGAAACATGTATTTTAGACAAAAATGCAAGAAGAGAAACTATTTCAAAGAAATGTGATCCGAAAGTTTCTTCAAGTCTGAAGCAACGAATGTGCCAAGAACTGACAAAACATTAAATTCCAATCGGGTTTTTCCTTATTTCAAAATATCCCTCTTGGAACATTGTCCTTGTGATTGGGAATTAAGAAATCTTTAGTGGTAATTCCTTTGGTTTCCATTTACTGTGTCAACACTGAAGATGCACGAAATGTTTTCTCTTATTTTTGCTCCTGAGACAGTTGTGCAAGTGCGAATGAACTTTCCACTCAAAGTGCATTTCTGCAAGAAGAAATGAGAAGCTAGTTATAATGTGCATTTAAATTAGATTTAAAATTCCCTCAATGTAATGGATACATGTGTTTCCACACGTTCCACATGCCGTAACACAGCGGACCAGTGTAGCGTCTGTGGCTCTTCTTCTTCTTATTTTCCTCACATCCCATTCACAGAGCCAAGCGCGGTGGACACGGCAGTCGCTGCATCGCACATCTGGTTTCTCCTGCAATTCACAGCACTTGGCAATGACGTAGAACCAAAGATGGAGGAGCTGAGGGAGCTGGTCCATCTGTTTCTGCTGAAATCCCAGTTTTTCTGAGTGAGAGGCAGGATCTGCGGTGGTGATGATGCAGAGCCAAGATGGAGGAACAGAGGGGACGGAGCCCACATCTGTTTCTGCTCAGCTCGCAGCTCAGTTCTGAGGAAAAGGGCCTGTAGAGCTGGCTTTACTGGGGAATGGACACTGTGCTAGCCAAGTCAGCCTGCTGCCTTACTGGCACTGGGGCAGTAGCCACACACACACACATACATGCACAGAAAGCAAGGGCATCAAGGGCAAAGTGTAGGCGGCTGTGTGTGTCTGTGCATGTGTGTGTGTGGTATTCTGGGTTGGACCGTACTTGGATGCGCCGGGCCAAGCAGCAACTTTGTCGGAATGTTTGTACTCTGCTCTTTAACTCTCTGTCTTTCCATCTCTCTCTCCTCTGTGATGTAGGAGCTTTTCATTTTTTTTTCCTCCTCTCTTTACAAACCTTCCATCTCTCTCATCTGTCCTTCAAATCCAACATTCCTCCCCCCTCTCTCTCTCTCTATCCTCTCTCTCTCTGTTTGGCCCCCTATCCTCTGGACCCTCATGCTCTGATTGTTTTACAGGAAGCCCAGTCACGGGGTGTTTGTGCATGTGTGTGTGTCTACGTCCTGGTGTGTTGTGTGGTACATCGAGCTGACTCAGCCTGATCTCCAGCCCTCTACTGAGACCCTACGAGACCGGGACAGATACCCGGTGACATGCTGACATGCTCCTGTCTGTCATGTGCGTCGCTGTTGTTTGAGTTCTACACTATGCGCCGCGCAAAAACTACCAAACTCATGAGCAGAGCCGTCCGTCTTGCTTTCCTTTTTCCTCCAGTGTCACTCATCTTCGATGGTTCCTTCTTACGCGCCCTGTGTCAGCATGGTGTGTGTGTTTATGTACTGGAAGAAGCTGTGCACTCTCTCCTTTACTGCAGCGTAGTCAAACACTGCTTCCTCTGTGTGTGTGGGTTTTGCATTTGCAGAGGTCCTGACTTGCAAACATGCTGTATGTGAGTGCATGTGTGCAGGTTTGAATGTGTGAGTTTGTCTATGAGATATGTTAAATGGTTCATTTAACCTTCACAAAACTAAGATTTAATTGGATCTAGCAACACAGATAGAGTTGGTATCTTTCACTTCACTTCATAGATATAGATCTCTGATATCTGTCTACAATGGAGGTTAAAGGAAGTCCCTTTTTTTTAAAATCAACAGTGTTTTTTTTGTGTTTTTCAGAAGTGTCACTCTGGATAATCCACCCACCAGCCTATAAACACAATAGCTGCAAATAAGACCTTTTAGAATGATATTAAATTTAAAAAAAAACTTTCAAATTTGTATCCATGAAGCTTGAAACTGAGATTATTTGGCACTTTTGCATATAAATGACTTCAAAAATGAATCACTTGCTTTTGAAGAATCTTCTGTTTATCAACTAATAGTCTCAGCTCATTTAAACAGATTTAGAAAGGAACTGCATTTTATTTTTTTGAAATTAGCCCCTATGGAAACTCTGGATGTGTTGATTACCCAGAGTAACCGGGACAAGACTTCTGGACAGAGTTGCAGCCGTTTTCAAAACTCATTTTCCAATGCTGGGTGCAGCACAAGCAAAATTCCAGTTTGCCTTCACTGTGCTGAAGCAGAAGTCTAAGAGCTGGATATAATTAAAATATAACGTATAAAACCAAACTTATCTGCACGGCTATACACTAAGGAAACCTGAGGAAATGTGTTCGGGTTAACCAAAAGTCTATGTAGAAAACTATTCTGAATAAAATTACATAACAGCATGGGCATGTTCCAAAACCTACAGGCATTTATGTAACATATAAAAGACATTTCTCTCTCGGCCTGGGTGGTCAGAAAATAGTTTAATAGAACGTTCAGTAGTTTCACTTCAATGTGCGAGATGCAAGCCACCATTAAAGCACATGATGAAAAGTTCAGTAGCCAAACTGCAGACGTGCTCCATCCTCGACACGGAGACCCTTATTCTTATTTATCTTTACTTCAATTTATGTGTTTTTTAATTGATAAATAGCACAAGTAGTAGATTCCAAAAAACAATAATTTCCTTAGTTATTAATTAAAATAATCAATAATTGACTGAAACTGAATATTTGTTCGTGATCTCATCTGTGCATTTCTACTGTGAATCACTGACAGATCACGGACTTTGAGAGATGCACATATAATCCCCACCTGCCCCAGATGGAATATTCCTGTGATCTGACACCCTGCTGTGACGGACTGAACCAAAGTTTTATGGGGGGGCAGGGAGGGCTACATTTAAAGAAGAGCCTGACAGTCACAATCAGGGAGTGGATGAATTTTATGCGCCTCTTTATGCGTTTCTGTCGCCACCTCTACAGACATCCCTGTGTTCTATGCATGTGCATAAATGAGAGCTCTTTTTAATAACTCAGAGGCACATCTGAGCGTCAAAAGACGTGTCATTAAAGAGGAACGGTTCTACAAGCAAGCGAGTGTGTGCGTTGTGCCGTTCTTTCTGCGTGTCTGGGTGATAAGGCTGGAGCTGTGGTGTCTAAATCTCAGAGCTCAAAGGTTTCCTTCATCTCATGCAGGACTCTACAGGTATGCACCTCCCTCCCCTCTCCCCCATCTCTCTCACCCCTCTCTCACCCAGCCCCCTCCTCCTCCTCCTCCTCCTCCTCGCGGCTCAGCCTTCAACCAACAAGGCCGGTATTGTAGCGAGGGTAAAACGATAGCACTCAGGGACGGGTTCAGCTATGTGGTTACCCAGACAACCCCTCTTACCCGCTTCCCCACCTTCCCACCTCAATCCCTCCGCCTCGATCCCTTCACCTCAGTGAGGCTGCATTCATCCATTCATTTATTTATTTATTTTTTTTCTCCAGGTGACTCTCTGTGTGACACACACACACACACAAAAAAAAAAAAGAAGTGCGAGAAAGAGAAGAAGGAAAGGTGTGTTTTATCTGGCCTGTTTGAACGCAGAGGGGCACCGAGGTTAGAGAGGACAAAGCCAGTCACGTAGAGACGGACGGACAGAGAATATGAGCTCCACAAAGAGATAGAAGATGGTTTCGCTCCAAGGTGACACATCCATTATTCGGGAAATAAACAGGCACTGATGGGATGTTTTCTGACAGGCACACATGTACCGTTAAGAAAATGCTGAGATATTAGAGACTGTTTCTTTTTTGGAGTGATGTTTTCAGATTTGAAAACACACACACTGCATTGTGGTCCTCTGATTTAGCCATCTTGTGCGTAGCATACATCTACGTGTGTGTGACTGTGATGTGTTTTTGTGCTAAAATGGGAGTCTCTTTTCTTGATGTTTAAAAGTGAAAAACAACCAAATCAATATATGCTGCCGGGAAAGAAAAGCATTAAAGCTCACTGTGAACTTTTACCATTCATTGATAGAGTCCATTGTGTTCGTGGGTCCTACCTTGTGTGTGCGTGTCGGGTTCACTGTTTCGCGGACTGCTGCGGAGTCGTCTCTCCGGCTTCTTGCCCCCAGGACTGCCGACTCCGCCCCCCGACCCCACCGACCCGAGCGATGGGGTGAGCGATTTGTTGCTGCGTCACGAACAAAATCAGAGCAGAGTTTACTGTATTTATACAGAAGGAACAACACGCTGCTGTATTATATTATGAGTCTATCCTCATTTGTGACCAAGAATTGCTGTGACTGCACGAGCTGTTGGGTGAAATGGGCAAAATCCATATTCAACGCTGGTGTGAAAAATTAAAAGTAATCGAAACTGCTGCGTCCAAGAAGAAAATAGTGACTGTAGGCGTAACAAAAAAAAAAAAACAATTATGTGTAAATAATTGAGTCCCGTATACCCTCACAGTCCAGTTGCAGTCAAAAATACACAAAGTGACTGGAAGGAAAGAACACACATCCCCAAACACCGTCTATGAATATGCTGCTGTCAGACGTGCACGTAAGATTTTGAAGGACCCCTCACACTTTTTATTTTCACTACAAACCTTAAGGTAGGCGTTACAGAGCATGCAAACATAAGAGCAACCTTTTAAAACGGTCTGTTTATTCCCACTTCCATCACTGTGCTGAAAAAATACAGCTAAAGCAGAACTCTTTATATATCTGGCCTAGAAAAGCCTGGATGTATATGTATATTTTAGATCAGAATGTGACATACATGGTTTTATATATGTGTGGTTTTATTCTGTGTCTAGCTGTGT